GAGAAAATGGACAAAGGACAAGAAGGGTATTTTACAAAAGGAGAAATATAAATAGCCAGTGAATAGATAAACCATGAACTTCACTAGGAATGCGAATTACCACCACAACTGGAGGGATCTTGTTTGTCACTTATAAGGCTGACAAAGAGAAGAAATCCTGCTGGGGGCTGGTAACACCAAGGTCACAGTTGGGATCCCCTTACCGGCCAGCCCCTACCCCCCCAAAAGAAATCCCACTGAGCCTAGTGACAGCAGGGTTGGGGAGAAGGGAGTGTAAGGGGGATACTCCCCTGGAGGGCAGGGCGAGTTGGCGGTGATAGGGACCATGAGCTTTTAGAAGGTCCACTCTCCCATCTGCTGCTTCACTTCCAGGAAGACTTTCTATGGAAATACCAGAGAGCAAAGACTCATGCCAGGATATTTATCCCAAAGGGGCCTATAAATATGGAAAAATGGAAAATTAAATACTATGCAAACATTACACTGGAATAGCATGTTCAGTGACAAGAACAAATGTTCAGATACAGGAGAAAAGTTTACGGCACAGCTTGGGGTGGGGCAAGCCCATTTTTGTAAAAGTACATGATTGTTTACTGCCATGAATATATAAAGAAAAAAGACGGGAAAGACATGCACCCAAAAGTCAACAATTACGGGTCATTTAAACTTTTCGTCTGGCTTGTCTCATGCTTAAATATTTTCTGTAAGGGACAAAGACGACTCAAATTAAGAAAAAAAAAAGTGGTCACACTGGCAAAGTATGGAAGGGCATTCCTGCAGAGGGAACGGTGTTGGGGAAATCAGAGCCTGCAAGAACAGGGTGGGTCTAGGAAATGACTGGCAGCTCCGTCCAGCCTGAGGGGAGGGCAGGGAGGGGGTACAGTGGGTGGGGATGGGGTGAACAAGGACCCAGGGGCTTGGGAGCCACAGGTAGGGTGTGGGCTTTGTCCTGACCAGAACTGCAAGGCAACAGGACAGAAGCCAGTGGCCAGCATGACACACAGTCCACAAGAGTGAAGGGCTGAGTCCTTCTGATCCCCAAGGGCCACACGGAGCCACTGCAGAGAGACCAGACAGAAAGCAAGGCAAAGGGTAGGGCAGGGCAGCACAGGAAGGCACAGCAGAACGCTACAGCAGCCTCCTCTAGCTAGTGTCTGTGGGCGGAACAGGCAACAACCAACACCAGGGCCCGGCCAGCCAGAGACATTCTGAATCTTGAAAGCCAGCACATGGAACATTCCCTTCATCCCAGGCACCACCAGGTCCCTCCTTTCTTCTGTAACCAGTACCTGGCCCATGGTGGACTTGATAAATACTTGCTGAATGAATGAATGTCCACACTGATCTGCACTCTCCCCCAATCCCACGCATCATTCATTCATTCACTCACTCACTTACCCAACACTGCGGCTATGTCTAGGGCTGCAGAGATTAATAAGGCTCCTGCCTCTGAGAACTATTTGGAAGTACTGGATGAGAAAGTTCAATCTCAGTGCAGTGTGGACACCCCACAGTGCAGTTCTGCCCATTGCTATGGGAACCCACAAGAGGAGCAACTAACACTGACTGGGTGAGGCCAGGGAAGGCCTCGTCAAGCAAATGCAACCCAGGACCTGAATGGTTTCAGAGAAGGGGAGGGCTAGGGTCACACATTGGCTATAAAAGAGGTCCCTTTGCTGCACTAAGGAGAATGGTCTGAAGGGAGCACAGGTGGCCAGTTATGAGACTATAGCAACAGTGCAGGCAAAAGGTGATGGTGTCCTGGGCTAGGATGGTGGCAGGGGAGATGAAGGAAAGGGACAGACTAGGAAGGACCCTGGAGGACAAGTGCCAGGGACATGTGTCTGCCACTCTTTGTTTTTTTGTCAGCTGGCCAATTGAGGGATCTGAACCCTTGACCTTGGTGTTACCAGTACCACACTCTAATCAACTGAGCTAATAAACCTGCCAGCCCTACTCTTAGATTTCTGACTGCAGCCATTGACTGGACAGTGGTGACATCCACTAAGATGGGGACTCTGGAAATGAGCAGTGGCTTGTGGGAGAGTCAGGATCAGTTTGGAATACACTGAATTTAAGGTGCTGCAGGGCCTGGAGTTCAGGAAAGTTTCCTGGTTGAAAGAGAAGAGGCAAACAGAGTACATTTAAGCCAGGGGATGCGAGGAGAGCAGTGGCAGTGAATCTGCCTTCCCTGAGTGCAGGCTTCAGAAAAAGAGGAGGACTACAGAATAACCCCAAGGACCACCTAAGTTAAAGACAACCAGGGTGGGTGCTTCATGAAAACCAGGGGAAGAGGAAGCTCTAGAAGGAGTGGAGACAGGGGAGGTGACAGTCTGTGAATGCGAGGACAACACACAGAAGAGTGCTTCTCACCCAGGAGCGATTCTGACTCCCACAGGACACGGGGCAATATCAGGGGACATGGTCTGGTTTTCACAACTCAGAAGGTGCTACTGGGATCAAGTGAGCAGAGGCCAGGGATACTGCTCAACACACTACAATGCACAGCACAGTCCATGGTGAAAACTATCCAATCTCAAATGTCAACAGTGCTGACATGAGGAAACCCTGAGCTAGAGGAAGTTAGGGAGTCTAGAAAGAATTCTTTTCAAGACATTATAGAGCAGAGCATGTTTGAATGCTGATGGGGTGATCTTGATCCAGGAAAAGTGGGTACTTGGCTAACTTGAGTTCGGGGGAGCCGAGTAGGGAAGGGATCTAGGGCAGAGGTGGAGCCACTGTTAGTTCCACTGCAAAGGAGGTGGTGGCTATTGGCTGGGAGTGAGGAGGTGCTCGGAGGCCTGAGGAGGCAAATCACACTGAAATGGATACTGTGGAGGATGGGGACAACCTGTGTTGTGAGTTGAACTAGGCTGGGGAATGACTTGACAGGGTGCCTGTCTGTCTGGGTGACAGACTCCCTTGCTGGGGTTGGCACCTGGAGCTCCGGCCAGGAGAAAGCAGTTGGCCAAGGTTTTGCCAAGAGTGGTATAACAGGACAAAGAGTCAGGGAAAAGTAAGGCCTGGCACAGCCAGTGAAGAAATTTTCATGCGCAGGTGCCCAGATGAGAAAAGTGAGGACGCTGTAAGTTTTTCATAAAGTTCCATTCACTCAATTTAAAGAACTGCTAACAAGATGCTGAGCTGACTAGTGGGCCCAGGGCCACTGACTCCACAACTTCTGATACACTAACTACTGCCCAAAGATAAGACAAAGCTTATCTCTGAACTGAAATAACTTCCAAATTACACTTTTTCTGCCTTCACAGGTTTTAAAAACCAGTTCTCTCTGGATTGATCTCACCAAATCGAGGTGTTCCTATTAGCATAGCTCACATTCCTGTAAAAACCACAACAAGTAAATAGACAAAGGAGTCAGGTACGGTGAGAATGCTTGCAAAATTGGACTCCAATGCTCAGGGATATCAATGGGGCTAAAAATTCCCTTCTACCAGAACACAAGAGGAGAAAGACAAGACATATTAGTGGCACAGGAAAATTTTCAAACCCCTCTGAACAGGACTCTTTTAAGGGTGGTCTTCTGAAAAAGGAGAGAGGTGATGGCTTCTAGAACATTCTGACACTGTTAGGGTCTGTATATTGTCTAAAGTTCCTCTTTAGAAGGTGTTTATTAAGTCACAGACTCGCAGAGTTGGAAGGGAAGATGGCTTGTGGGTTCAGTGCTCCCATTTGATGAGCTAATTCCCTGGTGCAGCCACCAGACAGGGTCTAGGGAGTCACTCTGGGGTTAGGTATCTTTCGTTACTGGGAAAGTGTTGACGGTTGACGAGGCAAGACGGTGGGTACATCAGGTTCAATATCTTACTCTATGTTCATGTGTACAGGTTGAGCATCCCTAATCCAAAAATCCGAAATGCTCCAAAATCGGAAACTTTTTGAGAGCCAACAAGACACTGGAGCATTTCTAATCTCAATGTTTGGATTACGGATGCTCAAGTGGTAAGTATAAAGCAAATATTCCAAAATCTGAAAAAAATCAGAAATCTGAAACACTTCTGGTCCCAAGCATTTCTGATAAGGGGTACTTAACCTGTACTTGAAATTTTCCATAATAAAAAACGTTTTTATTTTTAACTTTTAAATAGTTTTCGGTATAGGGAATCAGAGTCCCAACAACTCAGGGCAGCAGCCAGAGTCCCCTGAAAGGCCTGCCCATTCACTCTGCCAAAGCAGAGCAGAGAGAAAAAGGAGGAGGGAGAGAAGGACAAGGGGGTGGGGGTGGGGGTAGGAGAGGGAGAGCTCCTCAAAACAACCCTACTTCCTGAGGAAAAAAGAAAGGAAGAAGTGTTGTGTAGCACCTGGTCTTTCTGTGTTCTTCTCCAGAGTTCTTGAAGCCACGCTCCTAGAATGGAGGTCACCCTGTAAGGAGGGCCTTCTGCAAACACCCATGAGGTAGGTACCATCAGGATATAAGTGCCATCATCCCCACTTTACAAATGGGGACATGGAGGCCTAGAAGTTACACTTGGAGGGAGCAGAAGAGTGGGGCTTTTGGCTGCCCTGCTCCTGCCCCCCAGAGAGTTCAAGCTCAGTATGGTGCAGAAGGTCACATTGGTGGTGAGACAGCAAACATAATAAAAGGCTGCCTGCATCTGTCCTGGACAAGGTGCTCTCTGGGGTCCCTTCCACACGGGGCACTTGACCAACCTGTGTGGACCAAGCCCGGTCAGGCTGCTGTTCTTTGGCCCCTTCCAGCTCTTGGGCGGGGGGTGGGGGGTCCACTGTTACTGGTGGCTCCTCGTTTTTTCTCTCCTCTCACCATCTTATTTTGTACGTGCTCTCTGTCTTACATTAATTTTTCCTTTTTGGGGGAACCTATGTCTGACCTCATATTAGGGCAGTAGAGAAAGATTCACAGCCATCATCTCAAGGCTGCAGCTACTCTGCACTGAGAAGCGCCACAGAGTCACAGGCAAAGAGACAATGCTTAACAGGACAGCCACCAATATCCCCTTTACAAAATGTCTCCATTTCTTTACCTGCTACTTTATCCCGAATAAGTTTTGCAGATTCAACTTCACCAATACTGCTGAACAGACTTCGTAACTCATCCTGGGTCATGTTCTGAGGGAGGTAGTTGACAATTAAATTCGTTCTCCCAATGTCATCTCTGCAGTCTTCAGCCATGTGGTCTTCATAACCATTAGACATTGTATTTTTAAAAAATCTGCAAGGAAAGGAAAGATCAAGTAAATTCCAAATGTTCATGTTGCAGTATATTAAGGCAAAACTAATGACTACATCTGCACTTAGAAACTTTTCTTTTTTTTATTCTTTTTTTTGGCAGGTGACCAGTACAGGGATGGAACCCTGGACCTTGGTGTTATCAGCACCATGCTCTACCCAACTGAGCTAACTGGCCAGCCAAAATTTTTATTTTCTACCCTACAAGTTCAACTCATGGCCACACAGAAACCTGCACATGGATGTTTAAAGCTGATTTATTCATAATTGCCGAAACCTGGAAGCAAACAAGATGTTCTTCAATAGGTGAATGGATAAACTCCATTACATCCATACACTAGAGTATTTTTCAGTGATAAAAAGAAATGAGCTATTAAGCCATGAAAAGACATGAAGGAACTTTAAATGCATATTGTTAAATGAAAGACAAAAACTTGGAAAGGCTGTATACCATATGATTCTAACTATATGACCTTCTGGAAAAGACAAAACTACAGAGACAGTAAAAACGTCTGTAGTTGCCAGGGATAGGGGGTAGGGAAGGGAGATGAGAGAAAAATAGTGGAGCACAGGGGATTTTGGGGGCAGTGAAACTACTCTATGTGATACAGTAATGGTGGAAGCAGGACATTATGTGTCTGTCAAAACCCACAGAATATACAACACAAAGAGTGAAGCCTAATGTGAATTATAGGCTTTAATTAATAATAACATATCAATATTGGTTCATCAAATTATAACAAAGGTATCGCACTAAAGATGCTAATAATAAGGGGAATTATGTGTTGGGGAGAGGTACGTGGGAACTCACTGTAATTTCTTTGCAATTTTTCTGTAAACCTAAAACTGCTCTAAAAAATAAAATCTATTAACACAATTCCAAGTTCAACCATTTTCAGTACAAGGGCTTCAAAGAAACCCACAAACAATTCCAGCAACATAATTCAAGCTCCTGTAAAAGCATTTAGATGGTCTCTCAAGAGCTTTCCAAAGATTTCCAACTGCTTTCTGCCATGTCCACTGCTGCTTCCAGCTGGATACTGAGGAGCCTGTGGTGTGCACCTCGGACATCCTGCCTGTTGCCAAGCAGGCAGGCAACGGTCCTCCGCACCCTTTATTCCCAAAGACACAGTGACTGAGCCAGAAAGAAGTTAGGATTTCTCTACTAGTTAGAGGAACTCGGTTTTCATGGCTTACAGGCTCTGGAATGCCTTTCCAGCATGCCAAAGTCTTTACTTTAAGGGACAAACGTCAGAGTCCAGTGATGGCTTCAGAGAAGAGTCTGGATCAATGCAGCTAAGAGCACCAAGACTGCTCTTCTAAGAGTACAAGGACTGCCTGCCATGCAGCTGCCTAATCTAAGGGAAGCCATGCCCCTACCTCTAAATTCCCAGGCAGTCATAGCCCCACCTGCCGTGGGTGCCTACCTGCCTAGATGTCTCAGCAAGCAGCCCACCCCCTTCTCCAGATCCCTATTGTTCAGCACTGTATTATGTTTGAAAACCCAGTGCCCACAGTCATGAGCGTTCAGCCTTCTTTTAAAATAGCCTTGCCAGCAGTTACATAAAAATCTGAACACGCCTCTTAGATGGAGATTTCCCAACTACCCCTTGAATTAACACTGAAAGAAGAAATATGCCTGATTTTTTTCCTGATAGAAATGTTTAGGTCTTCCCTATCTTCCTACTTTCAGAAACATGCAAAATTAGTAAAATTTCCCAGCATTTCTTCTACTTACCTGAAGATGTTCTATGCTCTCTGCTCTTTACAAAGTAGGTTAGTATCAAAAGCCATAAAAGATTGGAAAGTCAGACTTCAGAAAATTGAACATCAAAAGATATCATAATCAAAGACAAGGAACAGCAGACTGGGAGAAAATATTTGCTACACATTATATTATTTAGATCAATGGTTCTCACGCTGGGTGATTATGCACCCCAGGAGACAATGGGGAATGCCTGGAGACACTTTTGGTTATCACAATGGGGGGAGGTGGGGTTCTACTGGCATCTAGTGAGTGGGTAGAGGACAGGGAAGCTGTTGAATGTTCTGCAAGGCACAGGACAGATCCCACAGCCAAGAATATCCAGCCCAGAATGTCAATACTGCTGAGGTTGAAAAAACTTAATTCACAGCATCTACAAATTAGTAAGAAAAAAAAAAAAAAAAGACATATCATCAATAGAGAAGTGGACAAAGGATATGAGCCACTGGCAATTCAAATAGTTAATAAACCCATGAAAAGAAGCTCACTTTTACAAATAATGAGGAAAATGCAAGATAAAATGAAATGCTACTTTTTGCTAGTCTGATAGAATAAAATCCAGGATGGATAAAATCCAGTGTAAGAAGGATAAAGGGGAAAAACAGCCTTATATACCATTGATACAAGATGGTACAATCTTTTTGGAGAACTTGGCAGTACCTACCAAAATTTTTTATTTTTTATTTCTTTGACTCATAACTGTAGGAATCTCTTCTACAGAAACAATCACACATGTACAGGTAAATTTGTGCGAGGAACACACAACTATGATTTGTAAAAGTACAAAACTAGGGCGGGCCTGTTAGCTCAGTTGGTTAGAGCGTGGTACTGATAACACCAAGGTCCAGAGTTCAATCCCTATACTGGCCAGACGCCAGAAAAAAAAGTACAAAACTAAATATAATCTAAACATACATCAATGGGGGACAGCTAAATAAATACCAATTTTCAGGCTGGCCGGTGAGCTCAGTTGGTTAGAGCGTGGTGTTGGTAACAACAAGGTCAAGGGTTTGGATCCCTGTACTGAACAACCGCCAAATAAATAAATAAATAAACAAACAAATACCAATTTTCAGTAGAAAGCACAGGAACACCAGCATTAAAGAGTTTAATCATGAAAAATTCCATGAATCTGTTCAATCATCTGTGGTCATGCGATTTTAAAATAGATCATTAGCTCTAAAACAAACAAAAACGTTTGCTGAAGCTTGATCCAAAGCACAAGGTTAACTCTGAAAAATTAAGATGCACACTGAAGTTTACTCCAAATGTGATTTGAACATTTCTCTTCTTCCTTCCTTTTTTCTTTATCCTGCCCTCTCTTCACCCTTTCTCTATGAGCTAGACATCTAGTTTTTGCCCATGTCCTGGTTTCATGGATGATGAATTGAACAATGATTATCCTGTTCTTATTATCCAGAATGAAGTATCCTCTATGCCTGGCAAAAAGAGAACCTTCCAAAACAGGGGTCTGCACACCACAGTCTGCAGGCCAAATTCAGCTCACCACCTGTTTTTATAAGGAAAGTTCCAATAAAGTTTTATTGGAACATAGCCACTCATTTGTTTATGTATTTATTGCCTATAGCTGGTTTTGCACTACAATAACAGAGTTGAGTAGTAGCAACCGTATGGCCCACAAAGCCGAAAATACCTACCATCTGCCTCTTTACAGAAAAAGTTTGCCGACCTCTGTTCTAAAAATGTAAAAATACAAAATGAGTCTCAAATACACTTTGCTCAGTGAAGGAAAATATTTGTGACACTGAGGTAGGCAAAGATTTCTTAGATACAACACTAAAAGCCCATTCCATTAAAAAAAATTATAAACTGGGTATCACCAAAATTTAAAACTTTCCCTATGTGAAAGACACTGCTTGGAGAATTAAATCTGGAGACTGGGGAAAATATTTGCAAAAAGGACTTGTATTCAGCACAAAATTTTTTAAAGCTCTCAAGATGTAACAATAAGAAAACAAACAACCCAATTGCGAAAATGGCAAAAGATTTGAACAGATACTGCACCAAAGAAGAAATACAAATGGCAAATAAGCACATAAAAAGATGCTCAACATCATTAGTCATTAGAGAAATGCAAATTAAAATCCCATTGAGTTACCACTACCCACCTATTAGAATGGCTAAAACAAACAACAAAACCGTGTAAGTGCTGATGAGGAGTGAAGAAACCAGAACTTTCATGAACTGCTGACAGGAATGCCAAAAATGTTACCGTCACTTTGGAAAACAGATTGGTAATTTTTTATAGTTAAATGTACACTTTAGCATGTGACCCAGCAATACTACTAATTTTGACACAAAAGAAATGGAAAACCTGTATTTGTACAAAAACCTATACACAAATGTTTATAGCAGTCTTATCCATAATCAACAAAAACTCGAACAACCCAAATGTCCTCCAAGCTGTTTATCAATAAACTACGGTACACCATGCAATGGAATACTACTCAGCAACAGAAAAGTACTACAACTAATGCTACTTGTATGAATCTCAAATACGTTTTGCTCAGTGAAAGACACCAGATTCAAAAAGCTACATACTATGTGATTCCATTTCAACGACATTCTGGAAAAGACAAAACCATAGGGATAGATGTGTGGTTGCAGCAAGACAGAATTTTTTTGTTTCTTGATGTTTCTTTTCTGCTGTCTTGATTCTGGTGGTAATCACATGACTCTATGCATTTGTTAAAATTCATAAAAACACTACACCAAAAAGAATGAATGTTCCCACATGTGAATTAAAAAATGAATTTAAAAAGATAAAAAGGGAACCTCTGCTTTGCCACTCTGTCTCACAGTGTGCTGGCTCCTCCTGACACACCCAGTCAAGTAGTGTGAGTAGCCCCCTGCAGGCAGAGTTCTCGGTCAACCAGCAACAATGGAGAAACCAAACCCCCAAAAGCACAGTTTCCTGGTGCTTCAGGGCCACTCCCTCAACCTTTTCCAATTCTGCACCACCAGTCTTGGGCCAGACAAGCTTCTGTCCCCTCAAGCTCCAGCCACGACTAGTCCTTGTCACCATCCTATTATCAGTGGCTCCCAAGTAGTAGCCACCTCTGCCCCTCTCCATGTGGAAGGTCTGCAGACTCTCCCAAGTCAACACGCTCTGCCCCTCTGGTTTTCCATCAGCGGTGTCACCACCCACTGAGGCTCAGAGGTCACATTTTGCTCATAGCCAATCATGCTGTTAATAAGT